GTGAAAAAGAAAGAGTGAGAAGAAATTAGGTTTGCCTCAAAGAAAGCCACAACAGCCTTTGCCGTAACTTTATCCCAGTATAATTTGTTGGAGCATCTGAATACCTACAATCAAATCCCAGTTTCTCTGTTTGAAAGTTCGCCAAAAATAAAAAAATAAAAAAAATTGCTGATTAATAAAATAAAAAAACATGTGCATACAATCTCTCTGTAAATCCCTTTCTTCTCTTCATATTTTGTTACCTCACAAATGATGCCTTTTCACTTCCTATTCCTCAAACAATATATGCACCTTGGGGTTTAATGGTAATTTTTGCTACCTACGATTTGATAATTTTAAATTTTTAGTACTAAAATATATAATTTAAATTCAAACTATTAGTTTTTTAATAAAATTAATCTAATGTCTCTAATTGACGTTATATGTAATGATCAAATGAATAAATCATTATTTAGAATGCTAAAACGACATCATTTTAATATTTCAAGATTAATTATATTTTAAAAATATTTTTTACCTTTTTCTAATTTTGAACTTTTTTTAAAAAAAATTTCATATAAAATATTTATAATATTTTATATACTATATACAAAAAAATTTATAAATATTTTTAAACTTTCTAATTTTGAATTTTTTATTAAATATAATAATTTTTTTTATAGTTTATAAAATTAGGGGGTTAACCCTTGATTATGCTCATTTTAATTTATAAACTATTATAATTTATATTATGAATATTTTAATGCTCATTGGATATTATAAATATTTTATAAAAAAATGTTATAAGAAAACATAATTAAAAATACACAATTTTAGGTCTTTAAAAAAATATTTTATAATTTAAAATGAGCATAATTAAGGGTTATCCTCCTAATATTATAAATTATAAAAAAAATTCTTTATAAAATGTCTATAATAAAGTATAAAAAATATTTTTATAAAATATTTATAAAAAATTTTCAAAATTAGGAGTAAAAATATTTATAAAATATTTTTATATAATTTAAATAAAAGAAAAAAATTAAGATTAGAGGGTTAAATATATTTTAAAATGTTTTTTTTAAAGAAAAAACATAATTAACATTAGAATATCAGAATGACATCTTTTTACATATAGAATTTATTAGATAAATTAAATCAATTTTACTCAAAAATCAATAATTTAAGGTTCAAATAAAATAATTTGATACTAAATATTTAAAATTATCAAATTATAATAGAATTAAAACAAAATTTATCATTAAACCAATAGCTTGGCCTCGGCGATAAAGGACTAGCCAAGAAATCATGGAACACCTGGAGTGCATCACGGAAAAGATTACTAGAAAACAATAGACAATTAGATTCGTGAATCAGCCATGCTTTTACCCTCAAAGAGCAAAGCACGCTGCTTGATAAAATAAATAGGGCCAAAAGAAAAAATTATTACTTGGAAGCATATGAACCTGATTGAATTTGATAGTTAATTTCTTTCTCTGTTCTCGCGGAATGGGAAGGTTGGCTGGTTCGACTGCTAATCCCAAATACCAACTAAGTCGTCTCCAATCAAGGCCTCGCCAACAAACAAGTCAAGTTAATGATTTATCCTTTGTCGAAAAATCTATGGAGGTCGAATATGATACCAGTCGTTAAAAAAGAAAATTATGGCATCGATAAGTATTCAATACTAAAATATTCTTTTAAAATAATAGAAGTGAAATCATAAGGTTGTTATGTTTGAGTAGAACAATCAAACTTTTTTAACAGCTATTTAAATTTGATATACTACTTGATAGAACTTCTTTTTATATAGATTTATGCGTAAAATCATATATGTATTTTAACAGAACATCTCAGAATTGTCTTTGCATTTATATCAATTCGGCAAGTAAGTCATTTTGAAAAAGAATGGGTCAATTTCTATCTTATGTTATGAAGATTCAGTTCATTCAATCTCTTTGGACTAAATATCTTTAACCTGTAAGATGATTACCAATTAAATATTTTGAAGTTGTTGAAGAAATACAAACTACTGTTTTTCTTCCCAAAAGCAAAGAGTTTAGAAAATCTTCAAGCAATAAAACAGTCAATTTTTTTAAAAAAAAATAAATAAAATTTGAAGACTTTTAAGAAATGAAAAAAATTACAAATTTGAAACATATATATGAGGAATTGAGAAAATAAAAATAAAAAATATTATGAAATGCCTAGCCTTAAAAACTTTTGATGTTTTAAAATATTTTTGAAAAGTGTTTAATAGGTACTTTTTTTTTCTTTTGAAATTCTCATAAGATAAAATTTTAAAATGTCCACTCATTAATTAAAATTTCCGAAATTTTTTGACAGAGAAGAAGATAAAACTTTTGAAATCTGTTAATAAATAAAATGAAGTTTCAAAATTCTCATTAGAAATGGTTGATGAGAAACAAAAAATTTTCATTTTAAAAAAAATAAAGTTTTTAAGAAATAAAAAAATTATTAATCATTTTGGAATTTTTAAAACATTTTTAAGAATTCTACTTGATTTGTTATTTTTTCAAAATTTTTTATCTAAAAAAATTGTTAATTTTTTTTTACCCCTTAGACAATTTGGAAATAATTTATTTTTTTGAGAAAATGAATGTTTTAAATTTGTTAAAAGAACTTGAATATTTTAATTGTTATTTTGTTAGAGTAGGTGCCCAAGATACAACCTTGATTGGATGATTTGAGTTATTATCACATTGCATTGTTTATTTTATTAATAATAAATGAAGTCTTTTTATTAATTCTTATTATTTATATTTATTTATTAAATAAAATTAGATATAAGTCTATATGATATACATTTACATTAATAATTGATAGAAGATCGAAAGATGTGAGACAAACATCAATTAATTTCTATGATATCATTAAATGTCTCAAGTCGTAACATTGTCAAAGCAAGTATTAGGTGATTTATACTAGGGAACTTATCATCGAACTTGACTCATTATGAGAATCCATTAGATTTAGTCGATGGGAATCTCATACGAGATGGATGCAACTTGTCATTTGATTTGAAGTCATCACGGTTATCTCATTAGAAGATTTATGTAATTTGACAATTGTTTTGATGAACTCGGTAAAAGGTTGCACGTAGGCGATTTGTTAAGTGCAATAGGGATCTAATAGAGATAAATGAATGACTAATATATGATATGTCATTTCTTATATGTTAAAGGAGTTTATCACATTGCATTTCAATAAATGTATGCTTAAGAAATCTGTAGCCATAATAAAAGTATACCAATAGAGCGTAATTGGTTTATTATAAGAGTTAAAATATTTGAAAATTAAAGAAAACTTGTGTGATCGTAATAAAACAAACTAACAATCAAGTTCGAGATCATATTGTGATAATGCATGTTAAGCGAGTGCTGGACGCATGCATGGGCGAGACTCTGCAGCAAGCCGGGCGCACGCGAGCATCGAGCAGACGAGCTAAGTGTGCTCAAGCGCTCCGGGTAAGGCCCGCACAAGCATGCCGGACTAGTAACTTTTTTAAATAAAAATTTTTTGAATTTAAAACTTGGATAATTCACATTTTTAAATGAAAGTTTTACATGCTTAAAAATTATACAAGTCCAATATTATTCTGTACCTAATTTTTAATTTAATTAAAAAAATAAAATAATAAAATCTGAATTCATGATTATTTAGATTATAAAACTTTAATATCATGTTAAAAAATTATTTTAATCTAAAAATTTAATATGTCGAGAAAAAAATGGTTTCTATTACAATGGTTGATTTGTTTAATAGTCCGTAACAAAAATATTTCTTTTAGCAACAAACCATTGCCAAACATAACTTCTCGGGATGGAAGTAACTATCATTGCAAAGAAAATCGTTGCTACAGCCATGTTGTTTTATAATGTCCACATGGAGATTTAAGTAGAGTTAGACACCTGGATGGACACCAGACGTCATGGTTGACAAGAGTTAGGTACTGTAGGTATTTTATTTAGTTTGCAGAAAAATAACACCTTTCTAGGCTTTTTTTTTCCCTCTACGTGACATTAATATAAGCATTTAATTCTACAGATCAGTCTTAAACCAAACTTTATGAGAAGAATTGAATGTAGCAAATTATTTGTCCTTCTAAGTATTATTTATGGGCAGACTTAGAATTATTGACGTCTCTTTAATAAAAAATCGAAGGGTTTGATTATTAAAAAAAAACCCAAATTGTATAATAAAACTAAATTGTAAGATAATTTAATAGTAATACTCTCAATTTGAATGATTCTTTCGTAGACATGGCTAGGATCGATTTTGTTACGTACCTTATAAAAACATCATAATGGGCCATGTCATATTCACATGATAGACACAAATGATTGATTTAACAGTATATTTCGTTTTAAGAAAAAATATGCGGTTGTCATCTTTGTTTGCAAAAGAAAAAGACCAAAATAATCAGTTCTAAAATCGGAGCACTCCAATCACATCAATTTAACAGGAATATCTAAAAAGAAATTCAAGAAACTAGATTTCCCTCTAAAAAGAAATCCTAGTTTTAGCTATTCAATTTTGATGTTTAACCATGTGCGGGAAAAAAAAATTACCGTACCGACTGGCAATTACTGAACCTTAAGTTGCTTCAGGTTCTAGATGATCAAAAGTCAAACCATTTAATTACTTAAATTAATTAGTCTCATGGCATATCATTAATTGCTTGTAAACTAATGTAAGTCTATTAGTGTCTAAAACTGTTCCGTTAACATTTTGCCAACTCCTTTTTAACAGTTGACAAAATCTCCTGCCAACCCTACTGTTCTGTCTCAATCCACTTCAGCCTTCCTCTATATAAACACCACCACTCCCTAAACCTTGACATTGATTGTATAATCTTCTCAACCAACCCAGCATCATCCACCACATACACCCTTTCACTTCTTAAAAAAACAAGTCATTGCAACACCAAGACACGAAGAGAAACAGAGGAAGAAGGGGTGCCTTTTCTGTTTAATTTTTGGGAAGAGAGGTACATTTGCATGGAGATTGCTTCTGTTTTAATATCCGTATGCCTCTTGCTCTCCAGTCTTCTTTCTTATCCCTTCTTAAAGAAGATGAAGAGGGTACCTAAACAAAGAGCTAAGCTTACTCCAGGTTCAATGGGATGGCCTTATGTTGGTGAAACTCTCCAGCTTTATACACAAGACCCAAATGTCTTCTTTGCTACAAAGCAAAAAAGGTTCTAATAACTACCATATGACCTTGATTTCCTTCTCAAGATTTCCTATTGCATGGGTTTAAACTTTGGCAATACGTACCAACCGTTATATTTTGTATTTTTCTCTTTCAGATATGGAGAAGTATTCAAAAGCCACATCCTTGGCTGCCCTTGTGTTATGCTTGCTAGCCCTGAGGGTGCAAGATTTGTGCTGGTGACTCATGCCCACTTGTTCAAGCCTACATACCCCAAAAGCAAAGAGAAAATGATTGGCCCTTCAGCTCTCTTTTTTCACCAAGGAGAGTACCACAATCTTATAAGGAAGTTGGTTCAAAGTTCCTTGTCACCAGACAAAATCCGGAAACTAATTCCTAGTATCGAATCCGTAGCCACCTCTGCCTTAGAATCTTGGTCCGGTGGGCATATCATCAACACTTTTCACGAAATGAAGAAGGTTTGCTCCAAAAAAGTTACCTCAGTTTTTTTCACAAGTAAATGAAATATTACTTATTTCTTAACTAAACCCAAAAAAAAAAAAAAACACAGAAAGCTAGCTTGTGGCTTGCTCTTTTGCATACATATGCAAAGCTCGTACTACTAAAACGCGCTTTTCACTTAGATTATTTAGGAACATGAGGTTTCTATTTTATTGTCTCCTACCTCCTCTCTTTTACTACAGTGGATTAGTAATTTCGAATTTGATTTTTGTTTTTATTATCGTGTTCTTCTTGGAGTTTCTGATCACTGGGTCTTCAACTTTTTGTTTTACTCTCTAATTATTATTTTTTTTCCTTTGGTCCTCCACGCAGTTTTCTTTTGATGTCGGCTGTCTTTCTATATTTGGTCACTTGGACAGCAACTATAGAGAGATGCTGAATGACAACTACCAAATACTAGATAAGGGTTACAATTCATTTCCAACAAAAATTCCTCGAACTGCTTACCACAGAGCTCTTTTGGTAAGAAATGTCTTGTCCGTTATCCATCTATATGTCAAGAGTAGCCTCAAAAGAATTTGAATCTGATTTCCTTTTTTTTTTTCTCTTCCTTATGGTTATCAAAGGCAAGGAAAAGGCTTAATCAAATACTAGGTGAGATAATTTGTGAGAGGAAAGAGAAAAAACTCCTAGAGAAGGATTTCTTGGGTCATCTTCTGAACTTCAAAAACGAGAAGGGGGAGATTTTAACTGAAGATCAAATTGCTGACAACATCATAGGAGTACTTTTTGCTGCCCAGGACACAACAGCCAGTGTTCTGACATGGATTCTGAAATACCTCCATGATGACCAGAAACTCCTAGAAGCTCTTAAGGTGAGAAATTCCTATAATTTTTTTTTTAATTCCCATATTGTTTATTGGTTCTTAAATAACCTTATATAGTTATCGTGAACAATTGTTCTTATACATTCCAGGGAGAGCAAATGGCGATATATGAAGCGAATGAAAGAGGAAAGAAGCCCCTAACATGGGCCCAAGCAAGAAATATGCCACTTACATACAGGGTATTTACTATTTACATTAAAAATATACTTATTGCTGAAGTTGGCTTGAGTAAGAGAAAATGAGTAATTAAATGAAATCTACAGGTAGTATTAGAGAGCTTGAGAATGGCAAGCATCATATCTTTCACATTCAGGGAAGCAATAGTTGATGTTGAATACAATGGTGAGGACTTACACCAAAAACTCTCTGTGATGATAATGGTATTTCAAACTTTTTTTTTTTTTTTTTTTTTAAGAAAGAGAGAATTTATTTCATTTATAGGACACCTAATACCAAAGGGCTGGAAGGTGTTGCCATTGTTCAGGAACATTCATCACAATCCAGCATTCTTTCTTGATCCTCACATATTTGACCCATCGAGATTTGAGGTATGCGATAAAAACAGAAATCTTCATTAAAACCAGTTAGAAACAAATTTACCGACTTCGGTGGTTAATGTCTTTCTCTGTCACATACTTGTGTGTGTCCACTGGTCCATAAAAAGATGGCAAGTATTTATTTATTATTATTTGGTCTTTGGTACGGGTGGATGTAGGTTGCTCCAAAGCCCAATACTTTCATGCCATTTGGAAATGGAGTGCATGCTTGCCCTGGCAATGAAATTGCCAAGCTGGAGATACTCGTCTTGATCCATCATCTAGTGACCAAATTCAGGTACAGTACCATAGACACAATCGCAGTTTATTGCCAAGTTTGATCATCCCTTGTGAACAGCCAGTTTGCTGAAATCTTGTGAACAAAATTGACGAATTCTTTTTTTTTTTTTTTGCAGGTGGGAAGTGGTGGGATCACAAAATGGGATTCAATATGGTCCGTTTCCAGTACCTCAACAAGGGCTTCCAGCCAGATTTTGGAAAGAATCTACCAATCTCAAATAAGATATGCGTGTCCTTAGATTTAAGATGTCTTCTCGTATTTACAAAACTCCTAACCCAACCCGTCTGTTTTTTTCATGGGGTCCAGTCTCTTGAATTAGAGATGTTACATCAATGTTACTCTCACGAGAGGAAATGTATTTTTGGGATGGGTCCCGATTATCCCAATATAGCTCTATTGCCTATACATAGCTCTCGCGTTTTGTAAGCTTGATTTTTGTCAATGTACTAATATTAATAACTATGAATAAAATTCTCATGGCCTCACGCTAGGGGTTTAACTACAGCGCTATCGAAAGAGCAACGTCTGAGTGCTCTAACTGGCTGGGTGAACCCTTGACAGAAGGGCCGTTAGTACTACCCTCTCGAGCTGGCAGCTGGCTTGTGTTTGTGATTTTATTATTATTTTTACATGCTAAGTTCTAGAAAAACTTCCAGTGTTTTAGGAGATCCATCAAATTTGACACATGAAGAGTTTTCCGTTTAATGGGCAACAACAAAAAGGCATTTGAAACAAACCTATTGCTTTAGAGATTCCAAAGCCTCGCACATAGGCTTGACCTAAAGATGAAGTAATTTATAATTTTATCGGATGAGGTAAGATTTTAGCTATAATGTTGTCAAATTTGATATAATAGAAAAGATTTATTTTTTTGTTATATAATTCAAGATTCGTTAGATCTCTCAGTAAAAAAAATTCAAAACCATTGGAAAACCTCCAATACTCCGATGCATGTATTTTATAGGCGCCAAAATCAAGTAACAAAGTGTGGGGTTCTTAGGAAAAACAAAGAAAGAAATTAAAAACAGAACGTACAGAGCCAATTATTTCAACCCCATAATTGGTCACCTGCACTTCTGTCTGGATGATTCCAAGCAAATGTGCTTATGCTACCAAATTCGAAGCCGCTGCGACTAGGAATGCTTGAATCCCTTGAAAGTAAACTAACTATGCTGGAGATTTAAAACAACTCTATGAACTTTCGTTCAACGCTAGTTAGCCCAAAAAACCTTATAATTTTTCGGTCAAATTCAATTTAATCCTTGATTTTTTTTTTTTAGTTTTGATCATTCAAACTATTAAATTAAAATGATCAACCGCTTCTGTTAAAAACAGATGATTGTAATAGCTATTTTGATAGATTAAAAGCACACTTTATAAGGTAGTAGATAATAATGATCGTTTTTGTGATCACTTGTTCTGACCTAATAGTTTGAGAGATTTAAAAAAAAAGGGTTTAGAAATTAAGTTGGATTTTACAAAAGACCAAGCAGTGTTTTGACCATTTAGCCTCCATTCAATTATAATTATAAACATGATATATAGTTTATGAATAAAAGAAAGGTAAACCTCAAAAAAGTCCCAAACCTATAGAGGCAAACTCGATTAGGTCTCTAATCTATTTTTCATCTCAATTAGGTTCTCAATATATCTAAGATTCTCAATTAAATCCTTTTTTAAAAGTTTTAGTTAACAAAATTTTGTTATGCATTTGGCGTTACTTTAAATTGTTCACAATAGTTATGCATTTGGTCTCTAAAAAAAATAATCTCATTCATTTTCAAGTTTTTTGAGTTTTATGATGGCATTCGTTCAAACATTCCGAATTCTACCATCCTACGAGACCTTTGTTTTGTGCCTTTCATCTAAACTAATAGATCTCAATGTTAAATGTGTTTTCAATTTTTTAAAAATACTGAGTAAAAATCTAATATATCAAAGTGATAATATAAATTGGTGAACATTTAAAACATAAAATTAAATAATTTATTTACCGAATTAGATCCGATGGTATTTTTGAGAAACTAAAATTGGTTTTTCATAAAAAATTGAAGAACTAAAATCAGTATACTACTTTCGGTTATTCACATTATTATCGACTCCTATTACGAGGATTAAAGCTACCGGAAAATTCAATTGAGATTTTCTAAAACGTTGACTTATGTAAAGAAATTAAGCCGTGAATAAGGAGAAAGAGAACCGGGCTAGAGCAAAGCCCGCCTAATCCTTAAAAAGATGGGTTCATCCCATCCCACCCCGCAAGACCAAAGACCAAATAATTTTTTGGTCAAATTCAATTTAATCCTTGATTTTTTTAGTTTTGGTCATTCAAACTATTAAATTAAAATAATCGACCGCTTCTGTTAAAAACGGATGCTTGCAATAGCTATTTTGGTAGATTAAAAGCAAACTTGATAAGGTAGTGGATAATAATAACTATTTTCGTGATCAATTGTTTTGGCCTGATAGTTCGAGAGATTAAAAAAAAATTAGAGATTAAGTTGGATTTCATAAAAGATCAAGCAGTCTTTTGACCAATTAGCCTTCATTTAATTATAAACGTCCCAAACCTGTAGAGGCAAGCTCCATTAGGTTTCTAATCTATTTTTCGTCTTAATTAGGCTCTCAATATATCAATAGATTCTCAATTAAATCCTTTTTTTTTTTCAAGTTTTAGTTAACAAAATTTTGCTATGCATTTGGCACCACTTTAAATTTTTCACAATAGCTATGCATTTGGTCTCTAAAAAAAATATAATCTCACTTATTTTTATGTTTGTTGTGGTTTTTATGATGACATTCATTCAAAAATTCTGAATTCCAATACTGTATAGACCTCTACTCTATGCATTCCATCTAAACTAACGAGATCTCAATGTTAAATGTGCTTTCAATTTTTAAAAAACACTGAGTAAATCTAATATATCAAAGTGATAATATAAATGAGTGAATATTCAAAACATGAAATTAAACAATTTACTTACGGTACTCTATCTTATAGGTGGCGGTATTTTTGAAAAACTAAAATTGGTATTTCATAAAAATTGAAGAACTAAAATCAGTATACTACTTTCGGTTATTCACGTTATTATCGACTCCTATTAGGAGGATTAAAGCTACCGGAAAATTCAATTGAGATTTTCTAAAACGTTGACTCATGTAAAGAAATTAAGCCGTGAATAAGGAGAAAGAGAACCGGGCTAAAGCAAAGCCCGCCTAATCCTCAAAAAGATGGGTTCATCCCATCCCACCCTCCACGACCCAAACCAATCTCTAAAGTAAGGAAAATAAAATCATTTTCCTTCTCAAATAAATAAAAGGAAAAATCTCAAATTAGTCCTCACCTATTACCCAGTTCTCAAGTGGGTCTTAATCTATTTTTTATCAATTGGATCCTTATCTTATCAGAAATCATTAATCAAGTCCTTCTGTCTAGAATCAAAGCAATTTTTTTGACATAAAACGTTAAGTTTCTTCAAAAGTAACATCTTTTTTTATTTTAAATAAATAGTAACTTTGGATGGAAAACATTAATGGATTTGGAAAGGATCTTTGATTGAGACTTGCTTCTATCTTGCGGACTCAATTAATAAAATAATAGCCTGGGATACAATTGATAACTATTGTATAGTTTGGGGACCAATATGAGATAACCATACAAATAAAATATTAATAAAACAGCGGCCCCATTTTTTCGCTCTCTCTCCACACGCACGCTAAAAACGCAATGAGATCTGATTGTCTCTATAACCTCAAATTTATTTCTCCTCATAAAAATCACTAAATAATAATAATAATAATAGTTTCTCACTTTCATTTTTACTAAAATTAGTTAAAAGCGTGAAATAGTTGAGTTGTTTTGCCCGGATTATTATGATAGAATTAATGACAGTAATTGATGCGTAGGTCTACAAATTTGGTTGGAGATCTCTCGCATGGACTCGATCTTGAGCCACAATGGCTCTGCAGACCCCTCGCATTTCCTCCTTGCCATTTGTTTAGCTTTTAGTTTCTTCCTTGCTCGCTTCATATTGGACAGATTCATTTTTCGAGTAAGATCTCTTTGCATCTTCCTCTTTTTTTTCTTATTTAGTTATTCTGCCTGTCTTTATCCGCTTTTGGAGATTTTTGTTTGGCTTTTTAGTTATCAAAGCAGAATTTATTTATGAATTAATTACGATTTAAGGATTTTTATTGGAATCTGAGCTTGGTGTATGATGAATGAGTGTTTAAATGGAGCTGAAAGAGAAGAATAGGCCTTAAATTCTGAGCGATCATCATTTTAACTGAACATTATTGTTTGTAATTTTTTTTTCAAAATTATTCCTATAAATAAAGTGTTTTGGATTGATTTTCTTGGAAAAATAAGAAAATTGTGGGAGAATTTTTTTTTTTTTCGAGTAGTTGCTTGAACTTTATTTTTGTCAATGAGCAGTTCCAAATCTATTGGATTTCATAGGCTGAGAGCATAGAGCAGGAGATCAACCCTAGAGTATGCGATTCAGAAGCTACCTGTATCTGTGATTTCGTTATGCCTTAATTGGAATTCTAGTTATTACAGTAGCTTTTAGCTATGGGAGTTCATGCCAAGTTATAACTACACAATTTAGTATGTTTTCGTTTGCAAATCTTATGGTGCATTATAGGACATGCTTGTTTAAGGTGAAATTGCTGGATAGTGCTTTATATGAGCCAATTAGAAATTGGATTTTCAATCCACCTCATCCTATAATGCAGCTTCAGAAATTGGTGGATTGTGTATTTTCCCCCATTTCCTCTAACTACTCATTTTTTCAGTGAAGATGTATCCTTGGATGATTTTATCGACTCTACTTTTCTTTTTCATGTCATTAGAGAACAGCTCTGAGAATTTAGATCTCATTTGATTTCTGTTACCTTTTTTTTTTTTTTTGGGAAAGATCAGTTTTGAAATCACTGTGAATAAACCTTTCATGATCCTGTTGCTTAAATTAATGAGTTCCTGCAAAGCTTGAAAAATAGATGCTAAGGTTTTTTCAGTTGGAGGATCATTACTAAGACATTGAAATGTAAAGTAGCAACGATTTTTGTTCGTCTTATTTGAAACACGTTGAACTATGCAGTTTAAGGCTGTTGCAATATTTGCTTTTGTACTAAAAAGTTCCCTACAGTTCTGAAGATCTTACTTGCAAGTGGCCTTGGCTGACCGTGGGAGGTTGAGAATATTATGTGAAAATGCCATAGATGTGCTGAGGCGGAAGTCTTCCTTTTGCATTGTAGCACATTAATCTTGAACTGCATTTTTAATTACTATCATACAATGACAGGTATAGCCACTCGTGTCTTTGTTTAAGCCAACAAATAAGAAAAAAATTTGCATGCAAGTCTGTAACTCTATACTTTAGTAATGTTGATTATTTATTTCCTGATAATACAGGATAGATCACTGCGCTCGATATGACCATTTTATCATAGTTCTTGATTTGTTTCTTGTCTGCAGTGACTCTTTGCATAGAAAAATATACGAGCACTTGGTCCCTTTTATCCATAGGATTTTGATAAATTCTTCATTTCTCTTAGAGACTGGCCATTTGGTTTTTACAGTGACTCTTTGCATAGAAAAATATATGAACGCTTGGTTCCTTTTATCCATAGGATTCTGATAAATTCTTCATTTCTCTTAGAGACTGGCCATTTGGTTGTTGCATATTAAAGCCAAAGCCATTCCGTCAAGGACTGATGAGGCAACAATTGTAAAATGCTCGGAATCTATGTGGAAGCTGACGTACTATGCTACTGTTGAAATATGTGTTCTAAAAATTACCTGTAATGAACCATGGTTCAGAGATACAAAAGAGTACTTCAGAGGCTGGCCACATCAAGAATTGAGGTGAGTGATTCATATGCTATGACCTTTTGCAATAATTAGTGATGATAGTTGCTTATATAGTTATGCTTCATTGGCGTAGTGTGGATGGGAGAAATGCATTTTCTGGCATGGGATATCAAGTATTTCCTGATACTTGAGTTTGCTTAAGAGGCTTCTCATATTAGGGTTGCTTCTAAGAGGGCCACGTCAGGGATCTCATTTTGCTTGATTGACGCAAATCATTTTCATTTCAGGTTTCCAGTAATGCTTATCTACATGTACCAATGTGGGTTCTACATATACAGTATTGCTGCCCTCCTTATATGGGAAACTAGAAGGAAAGATTTTTCTGTGATGATGTCTCATCATGTAATTACAGTTGCACTGATTGGATACTCATACATTACAAGGTAATAATTCAGTCTTTACTTTGGTACTCTGAGTTGTGAGTCAGCAGCTACAAGATATACTCAAATTCTCTTCTACCTTTATCATTGTCTTATGCCTCTAGAGAATCTCATCTTGTTGCTTATTTCTGGTTGCCACCATTGGCCATATTTATCTCCTGTGGCACAAGTTTGGACATGCCTCTGAAGCTGTTTTATATATCTTTTCTCTGATAGTTACCATCAGTTGAGACATTTTAAAATTTAATTGAACATATCAACATATGATTTCTTATGCAGTATTTCTTGCAAATTATTTAAGATACATTTCTCAGGCTACTGTTCATTTTGAGGTATAAGATAGACCCATGGTTGTTCTCAGATTAGTTATTGATTACTCTCCTGAGTATATGTACCTCACTAATTTAATGATGCTGTGATCTTTGACATTCGATTTATATTACCGGGAAGTGGGAGGATTTTTGCTATTATTTGATATGTATTATCAGTTTTGGTTCTCTATGAGAAACAGCTTCATACTATAAAAGAAACTGAAGATTATCTGCATAGATGATAAAATCTATCATATTCCCCGGAGTTGAATGCTAGTTATCATAATTTGCAACTGACTTGTTAGCTGATAATTTCATTAATGCTAAATGAAGGTTTCTTGAGGTTAAGCAGATTCTACTTTTCTCTTTCTTCCTCCTTTATATTATTATTCGTTTTACAAGCCCATTCAGATTGAGATGGCAAAACTTATGAGAGAAGTTCTATGCAAGAGCTAAGCTCTTTAGAGTTCTATACTTGTTCCCCTCTATTGATTTCTGTACACAATAATATCGAGGTTGAACTCAATTAAAACCTTCCAATATTATTAAGTACATCCAGCTGTTCTCTTTCTTTCTTCCTTTTTCTTTATTATTAATCTTTTACCAGTATATTTAGATTGAGATGGAAAAGCTTGTGAAGGAAGTTCTATGCAGGAAGAGCTGAGCTCTTCAGAGTTCTATTCTTGTGCCCCTCTTTTGATTTCTGTACAAGAGTAGCTATAAAGACTAGCAAAGTTTTGAGCAATACTTTATTTGGACACTTCCATTGAGAAATTAACTTATAAACTCTGCCGTTCAGGTTTTTCCGAATAGGCACGATTATCCTCGCCCTGCATGATGCGAGTGATGTATTCTTAGAAGCTGCTAAAGTTTTCAAATATTCTGGCAAGGAACTTAGAGCAAGCATTTTCTTTGGACTGTTTGCCATCTCATGGCTCGTACTGCGACTAATATTCTTTCCCTTTTGGGTCATCAAATCGACAAGGTTTGTCCTCGTGGTAGATGACTTAATTTCATTAATTTTGACTCCTTTAGCTTATCTAATATTTGGTTGGCATTTCCCAGCTATGAATTGGTGGAGTTTTTGGATTTATCATTAGCCTACGACAAATTACTGTACTATGTCTTTAATACAATGCTGCTGATGTTACTTGTATTCCACATCTACTGGTGGGTCCTGATATACTCAATGATAATGAGACAACTGAGAAACAGGGGAAAAGTGGGAGAAGATATAAGATCTGGTAATCCTTCTACTCTTTTCTTACCGCTAAATTTGGAACATGAATGGAAAATTTCAGATTAGAGGGAGAAGGTCAACCTCTATGTCTATGGTTGCCTTCAGAGTTTTAGAAACCCCTCTCCATCTCCTCTTTTTCACTTCCTTTGCTTTGAACATAGAGTCTGAGAGAAGGAAGTTGTTAAAACTTTACTTCAAAGAGGCTGCTTTAGGCATCATTTATTCCAACAATATGATGAGTTCTTGAACAGTCCCTCGCACATATTATCAGGAACAACCAAACATGTCATCAGTTTATCATCTCATTTCACTTCATATATTATCTTGACTAGCGTATTTATCATTTTTGATTTACAGCTATTGACTTCTCTTCATACAATTACAGATTCAGAAGATGACGATTAGGTGGACGATTTTGATCAACTTTTTTGTTCTCACCAGTGGCTCTGAGGAGATTAGTTTGACTTATATGTAGGTTTGTATCTTCACTCATTTGGTTTTTACCAATCAGGTGAATGATTTACTTGTTCAATATTGATCAATTTTCCATGGCATAGAGATGATGAGATAGGACCATGGTTCATATCGCTTGATTTCTTTTTGGTGTATAAATAATAGGCAATTCCTGTATAATTTGTTCTCCGTTGATGGGCAAAACACCTCTCCTGAGATCAGTCCATATATTGGAAAATGAAAAGTGGAAAAGTACCCTTTTTATACATTTTCTTTTCCTGGTGTTTGAGTCTTAGTCACATGTTATTTTGTTGAAGCCTAAGGGGAATTGCATACATTCAAAAGCATGTGTCGATTGTCATGTGTTGGGTTGAGCAGTAGTGGTTTATTTTTGCATCCTTAAGATATGTATTCAAAAATTCAAATCCCCTCCTTTTCACTTCGGCTCCAAAAGATAACTGATGCCTGCATATTCCCTGTTGAGACTTGAGATGATTGTACGATGTGGGAGTGGTTCTGATTGTAAACTTGTTCAGTGAATTTTCGTAAGTGGATATTATTTTGCAGCTACTGGGATATGCTTCTCGTCTCCTTTACCTTTCTGGGTCGCGGTGTTTTAACTTTTTGAGGCCTTGTACGCTTGTTGCCTATTAGCTGCCAGGAGCAAATGCATCACCCACTTGTTCTGAGACCTGTATCTCGTGTTTTGGCCTTTCTTTTTTTCCCTTATCTTTGGCTGGAAAAGCTATTTCGTTGCTGCAGACAGGTGGCTTCAGCCTAGAAAATCTTTTTAAGATCTTGAGTTTTTCGATTAACAGGATTGGGTTTCGAAAAATAAAAAACTTCGACAGACCCTTTTTCCGAGTATATGCAGAGATGTCTTGCTGCTTATTACTTGAGACAAGCAAGAATAGTGTAAGTTTCTTCTTCATGAATGCTGGTTTGCCACCATTTAGAATATGCATGTAGCACTCATTTCAGTTTGGTTGTATATTAGTAATTCTGGAAGTTACTAATTGAATCGTGAATGGAGGCATTTGTAATGTCTACTTACGTGTGAGTCACAATTAAGAAACCAACATATTTTGTCATCAATAAAAAGAATCCTTCTATAATCTTGCTTAATGTGTTGAGCCTTACAGAACGGAAGAGGGAAACAACGTGTGAAACTGTGAATTGAGTACTGTGACGTTAGCTTTGTGTGAAATTTCTGCAAAAATAATGTGTGTGATTAAAAGGGGACATTAACTAAAACACTGAAACAAAGCACTCATTCACTTGTGTTTCTCTGGATATTCACGCACGCATTGTCCACGTACGGTCGTTCACGCGCTGCATTTTTATTGTTTGGCGAAAAAAAAAACTTTTGGTCACTCATTTTTTATAAATTTTTGTTCCAATTTCAAACTTTATTTGTGTTGTATTGTGGTCACTAGATGCTTGGAGAAGTGAGAATTTGTTCCATTCTGGCCATCTCAACCATCAAGTTCACCATCAATTTATTCCTCTTGAAAAGTAGAATATGTTTGTAATAGTTACAAGCTATAAAATGGTTGAAATAGGTGAATCAGGATTTGAAAATGTTTTGAGTTTTTTAATTTTTATTTAATTTTTTATATGTTTTGTGTGCATTAAAATATATTTTAAAGTTATAAATGAGTTTTTTAAACATTATTTCTGTGATTTTGAGATGTTTTTGGATGAAAAAATAAGATTGATTTTGGGTTTAAAGAGATCAAAAATTCTAAACTTAACTTTTTGGCATCTTTTTTGGCAAAATGGAAGCGTTGAAAATGTTGGTCCTCCATACCCAAATTTGTTGGCCTGCGCCTAAAGTTTTTTTTTAATGTAATTTAATTTATTTTTATTAAATACATTTTTACGAAAATTTTAAAAATTATTATGTATTAATTTTCATACAAGTTTATACATTAATTGACTTTATTTTTTTATACAATATTATGAAATATATTTTTAAAAAATTTTGGATTAAAATTTCAATTTAGATTAATTCAAATTTTTATTTAAAAATCAATTGAAAAAGAAGAACGAATAATGTATTATTTTTAAGTTGAAAATTATATAAAACATAAAGAAGAATTATTTAAATACAAGATTTTATTTAAAAAATTAGTATTTTTTTTATTTTCAATTTGATATGCTTTAATAGATCGATAATATGGGATAAACTATCAAATTATAATATTTTCATTCCATTCGATTTACAGCTTTGCCCGGACAATCGATTAAAAAACAAATCGTCTTAATTAATCTTAGAAAAAAAATCTTATTGAATCTATTTCCTAAAAAAGTTTCAGGTATGTTAATAATAAATATTAAATGTTTTCATATGTATTAAAATAAATTTATATCAATGAAGTAAAATAATAATACCATAAATACTGTAAAAAAATTGTTATGTTTAATTTATTACAACAAATCACATCACTTTTAATATATCAAAATAATATTAAAATAATAGAAAAAATTACGTGTACAATTTTTTTACTGTCTTCAGTATCGAACGACAATTTGTCGGCCGGAAAAATTGGTTTTCAGTACCAAAACCAGTGTTTGCGTAGAATGTCGGCTTGAGATACAACTCTTCCCAACATTCCTCACACGTAGAATGACGGTACTATCCAGACTGTATTGTAGTGGTAGGTGGTGGAAGGCTGCTAAGTCTGCATCATACTCCAGGGAGCCAACCAGATGTTGGCGTTGGAAGTAGGTTATGACCGAGATCGTGTTGTTATTTTTTTGGTAAAATTTTCAAATGCAATTTCCTGTTTATTTCTCGGAAGCACATAGTACGGACACAAATAGTACTGTGGAGTCACGCAATGAAATGATTGATTCTAGAGCTTTGATGGAACTATCGGTATTGTAAATATAAGCTTTTTTTATTATTATTTTTTTTAAGGGAATGGATAGGTCTTTTTTAGATACTTCAAAGTATTTTGAGTTGAAAAATTCAAACTAATTTTTGATTATTTTATCGAGTGCATAAAACAAATATGATTATTTAAAATTTTTTATATATATATAAAAATTCGAACCGAATACTACTTACTTAAACAAATAACGATTTTTTTATTCAAATCAACTATCTTGAGTCTTATATGGAATGAATAAAATTTAAAACTACTATATAAACCAATTAGACACAAATCTCGTGCTCATTTTGACTTTAATTATAATATATAAATTTATCATTTTTAAAATAATTATTTTCTAATTTATCCGAAAAACAAGATATTGATTGTATATCCTTGAGGCGTCCTTGGTAATTGGATTTAGATATTATGTATCATCTTATAGTAGAATATATGAGGTGGAAGGCAGCCAAAAAGCAAAAATCTTGAATACATAGACTATTCCAAGGATAGATGATTTATGTAAAACTCAGTTAAGAAGAAAAAAATAATTTCGATACTAGAAAGCTAATGTGATAATACTTTGATATTAAGATATTTGTAAACAATTTAATGATAGTTTTTTTCTGTTTAACTATTGAGGTTGCAATATATCAAAACTTATACTATTAACTTGGTTAATTATGTCATTGTCATATTAAGAGTTCAATCATTTTAAGATAAATTTGTTCTTTTGCCAACTTATGTTTGATTTCACTGTTAGTATTAGATCAACAATTGACTTTTGAACTAAAATCGTCCACAAACGCTAATAAAAATCTAATCTACTTACAAAAATAATGGAATGCTTTTTTATATATATAAATATATAAAATGCAATAAATCTTGAAAATAAAAAATAAGTTGAAATGCTTCGAAATTTAATGGAAAGCTGTAAAATAATCACATGAATTTATCTAGATAATTTTAGTAGGGTTCTCAAAATGTGTGCACTTATTGTTATCAAAATTAACTTGTTTTAAGTTTGGTTTAGTTCTATCCATTTGATAATGGAAACATTTTGAAAACCATACTAAAAAAATCGAATAAATTTATGTCATTTTTTTAGACCTCCAAAAGAATTCAAGAGCATTCCAACTTATTTTCTATGCTTTGCAATTTTGTAAATATTTAATGTTTGAAAAAAAACATTTATGATCTTGAAATTTTTTGGAAGTATATTGTATTTTTATTAGGATATATGAAAAAAATCCAGCTTAAAAAAATAAAATATAAATCCTTAAGATAGAATTTGGCTCGTTGTCAAAGTTTAACATGTTGATCTAATGTGAAAATAAATGAAGAATGAAAGAGGGGCAATGTTTGTCTCTCCCTCTGATGGACCGGTAGCGGTTTTCAATTTTGATTATTAATACAGTAAGGAGCATACTATTTTCTTATTTTGGAACTTACGATGTCGCTTGGTTGCCTTGATGATGGACCAGGTCTATGGATGGTTCAATTTTCAAGACCAGAAGGAAGTTTGACCTTATAGAATCCGTCAAGGGTTTAATTGTTTCAGTCAGGACGTTTCCCATGGGTACGAACGGACAGTCACAATCTAGCTAGCTTTCTCCTTCTAATAAAAACTCCCAATAATAAGAATTCAAACGACCGTGTAATGATCGACGGAAAACCCTTCTAGAACATAGTCAATTTTGTTTGACATATACATAAAAAATACACCTCATGCAAGTCGTCACAAAAAATACGTTGGGTAATGAAAAATTTTATAATACACGAGGAATAACTAATGATATATATAGTAATTATTTTTTGGATTCATTTCGAAGATAAAAATAGATATATAAAAAAAGAGAAAAATTACATTCATACTCATCAAAAGTTATGAGAAGATTTTCACGTTTGTTCAATTTTTTTAATTTTCTCTCTCTTTTTACGTATCTATCTCTCTCTTCTCAAAATGGATCCAAGGAATAACTATTGTACACGTCACTAGTTACTCTTTGTATATTATAAAATTTCTCGACTAGCAATTAAAATTATGTTTTTTTTTCTTCAGATTTTTTAAAAATA